CGGGCCTGCCTGGAGGAAGCGGCGGGCGGACCTCGGCCCAGCGCCACCGCTTTTCCTCCTGCCCGGGCCTCGCTGGTGGGTGTCGGGGCCTGGACTTAATGAGGGCCCCCCCCCCCAACCTGCCCCATTTCCATCCCTGCTGTCACCCGAGCTGCCCGGAGCCCCTGCTTCTCGCCCACCCACCCCTCGCCCTTTCTCACCGGGGACCGGGCCCAGGGGCACTGGGAGAGGGAAACTTTCGCGCCCCCTCCCAGGAGGCGCCCTAACCCCCCAGAGAAGCCCACAGGGACCCCCTAAGTCAACACGGCGGGCTGGCAGCCGAAACCTCCTCCAGGCGAGTCCCCAGCTCTGTCCCTTCTCAGGGACTGGTGGTCCCTGCATAGAAATTCTGGGTCCCTCCTCCGCACCCCGTCCCTCCCTCTGAAGGAGGGCGGGCGGCTCCCCAGTCTCTGGCCTGCTTCCTCTCCCCACCCCCGGCTTCTTCAGAGGCCTCCTTAGAGCATCTTTCTCAGCCCACTCCCAGCTCTCCCACCCGCACTGGGAGGCCCGGAGCTGGGGGGGAAGGTGGGAAACGCTCCCCTTCTGGTCTGCGTCTCCCCCAGCGCCCTCTCTGCGCTCACTCCCTCTGGGCTGTGTCCCAGGCCATTGTTTCTCTTATCGGCACCCGCCCTCCTGGTTTTATGGCGACTTTGGTGGCTGGTTTGTGTTCCTGCTGGACTGTGAGCTCCCGCGGAGCAGGTGTTTCATTCATCCCCGGTCCCCGCCCTGGGCCAGATGGAGTGGACGCTGTCCCCCTTTCGTTCTTCTGTGAGGAGCCTGGATGCTGTGGTGGGAAGCTCTGCAGCCCTCTCTCTCTCCCTTTGCAGGGGGGAGGCCGTGAGCTGGGCAGGGCTGTTTGTCCTGTAGGGAGTGACTTGCCAAAGGACAGGGACAGTACATGCTCTGCTCGGACAGCAGGCACAGGCCCCGGGTCCCCAGGGCAGTGCGTGTGGAGTGGGCCTTCTCTCTGGCCGGCCGCACTGTCTGCCCCGGAGGCCGGAGGGGAGCGGCCGGGGCTGTGGGAGTCAGGGTTCCAGGCCTGGCTGTTCCATAGCGTCTGTACAAGCTGAACTAAGTCCCTTGCTTTCTCTCTCCTCTTTTTTATTTTTATTTTTGTTGTTGTTAATCCTCACCCGAGGATATTTTTCCCATTGATTTTTAGAGAGAGTGGAAGGGAGGGAGGGAGAGAGAGAGAAACATTGACGTGAGAGAGACATATGGATTGGTTACCTCCCACACACACCCCTGGTACATGCCCTTGACCGGGAATTGAACCCATGACCCTTTGGTGCATGGGGCAGTGCTCTAACCACTGAGCCACCAGCCAAGGCCACTTGGCTTCTCTGGGTCTCGGTTGGCCCTTCAGGATCTGGGCCCCGCCTCCTCCCCCTTATCAGCGCTTCGGTATCAAGACCCCGCTAGCCTTCCCAGGTGGAGTGCGTCCCTCCACCTTTTGCCCCTCATTCGATTTCCAAGCAGAATGGCAGTTAGGGGCCAGCCCCTGAGGCTGGGATCCTGGGGGTTGGTGCCGAGTCACGTCTTCCTGGACCCTCCCATCCCGTCCCAGGCCTGGCCCATGGTGGGCGCTCAGCTACATGGCGGGAGGGCGGGCCCCACCTCCCTTCCTCCCGGCCTGGGGGCCTGTGTTAACACCAGGCAGATGGTCTCTGAACCCGAGCATCCGGCGAAGCCCCTGACTTGGCCTCCAGGAGATTAGAAGAGGAAACTTCTGCTGCTTCAAGATCCTGCTTTCGGGGACGCACGTCCTGTGAGGCAGGGGCAGCCCTCTCGCTCCCGCGGAGCCGTGGCAGGCGAGGTCGGTGTGTGTCTCAGCCGCGTGTCCCCGCCATCAGCCCCTTTGCAGAAAACTGCTTATCAGGCCCCCTGCCACGGGCACCGGTGCCCGAAGTGGTGTTTGCCCAGCGGCTCCTTGGTGGTCCGGTGGGCGTGATTAAGTGTTTCCTGGGCACCTGGGGATGTTATCAAAGAGAACCCGTCCTAGCGGGGTTCGCTCTAACACCTGGGCATCGGGCCCCTGTGCGAGGCTTCTTACAGAGTCTCCTATGAAAAACTTACTTTAGAATTTAGGGGAGCTCGTTGCTTCCTCCTGGGATGATGAAAGAAAACCGCGTATTGTCTGTGTCCTGCGCACATAGCATGTGTGTGGCCTGCCCCACGGGCCCTGGGGGTAGGGAGGAGTCTTCCCCCATGCTCCCCGAGAGGGAAGCTGAGACACACAGGGAGGTGAACTGATCCCCAAAGGCCGCCTGGGTTTGTACGCCCCCACCCCACCCCACCCCACCCCACCCCACGCTCTTTCCCGACCTCTCGGTCACCTCCTCCCCCTAGCGGGCAGGCTGCTCGGTGTCCAGCAA